ATCCCCCCGCGCCCGCTGCTGGCATCTCTGGCCCTGCTGATGCCCCACAGCCCGGCAGGATGGGGATGCCAGGACACCCTGGTGTACCTTGTCTCTCAGCTGGGCCTGCAGCATCTCCAGCTCTGTCCTGCTGCTCTCCTGCTCATGGCTGAGCGTGTCCCGCAGCTGCTGCAGCTCTGCCCTCAGTGCTGCCATCTCCTCCCCGTGCCGCTCCGCTGCCTGGCTCAGCCTGTCCCTCTCCTGCTCCAGGCCAGTGATCCGTGTGTTCTGCTCTGCTCCTGCCTGGGTGGGCATGAAATGGCAGTCAGGGCTATGGCAAGAGTGAACCCTCCAGGCTGGGGACTTGATCCTGGTCCAGGCTTGGGCTACCCCAACTGTTCCTGCTGGATGCATCGCAGCCTGTGCAGGTGCAGCTCTGCATCACTGCCTGGCAATGATCTCACCAGGTGACAACCAAAGTTCCTGGGTGCTCTCACCTGTGTGCTGGACTCCAGCGTGCCCTGGAGCACCTGCAGCTCCTGTCTGCTGGCTGCCAACTCCCGCTTCAGCGTCTCCAGCACCTCTGCCTGCTCCTGAGACTGTGGCAAAGGGAGAGGTTGGCAGCACTGGTGGTGTTGACACCCCATGGGGGTGCTCCTGCTAATCCCTGGTGTGTGTGTCCCCACCCCTACTCACCTTCCTCTGTGCCTGCTCGCTCACTCGCTGGAAGGAGTCCTCCAGCTCCTTCTTTTCCCGCTCCACATCCCCCTGGGCCTGCCTGGCCATAGTCACCTGCTTGGTCACCTCTGCGTTCTGACAACAGCAGAGAAAGAGCTCAGTGGCCCCTGGTGTTGGTGGACACAGCTGCAAGAGGGGATGCTAGGGGTGTTTCTGGGGAGCCCACCTTCCGCAGAAGGTCTGCGTGGTTCTGCACCAGCTCACTGTACTTCTCCTTCAGCTTGCTGTAGCGCTGCTCGTTGGCCTGTGCCCGTCCTGCCACACACCCAGGGACACTCAGCTAAGCACCCAGGACCCTCACCCCAGGGTTCACCCCCAGTGCACTCTGGGTGCCAGCCCTCCCTGCTCACTCTCGATCTCTGTCAGGCTCCGCTGTGCCTTCTCGGTGTCCTCTCGCTGCTTCTTCAGCTCCTCCAGCTCCGTGCGCAGGAACTCACTCTCATCCTGTGCCTGCTGCTTCAGGTGCTGCTGCTCAGCCAGCTCAGCCTCCAGCTCGCTGGCACGGCCACGCAGCTGCACCGCACCC